AAGGCGACTTTCTCCTCTTCCTCTTCTTGTTACTACTTTGGTTGTCCTACGATGTCTTCCTTTTTTTGCCCAGCTCGACCTAAGATCCAATCGCTTCTTCAACTTTGGTGAACTTGATTGCTTGGTCTTGGAATTGTTCTATTGAAGTAGGAGGGTTCAACTCAACCTCCTAGTGCAACTTGTGGTGTTAGATGCCATTGATCACCGCGGTGAGCTGGACAGCTGTGTCAAGGTTCAGGATCTGAAGGTTCTCCATATTAAACCTCTTGACGTAGTCCGTAAGCGATCATCATCATGTTGGACCACGTTCAAGAGGCAAGTGGCCGACTTTGAGCATCACTTTATCGTCGCAAAATGTGTCATGAACAGGTCAGCGAACTAATTCCAAGTCTTGATTAATCCTGGAGCCAATCCTGAATACCACAAGCGAGTTGCATCAAGGCTTGGAAACTATTGACATGGTCGACCAAGTCAGTAGTGTCGTCGTAGGACTCGAGACTAGGGGCCTTGAAGTCCTTGGGGCAAAATGCCACAAGGATCTCGGCCGCTAATGGCGATATTCAAGTGATGGCCAGGGCAGAGGAAATGGCAACCACCTCCTTCTTCATGCCTTCACCTTCATTTGGTGCGAAGTGAGTCCTTCTTGGATTCCATCGGGAGCCTCTACGATGCCTCCTTTGGGACCCCTCTGTGTTAGTAATGGCAGGGTTGGCTACGGAGCTAGCTCGGTTGGTTCCTTCGGATGCTATAGAGTCCTAAGCTTTTAGGTTCTTAGTGGGCTATAGACCACTGCCGACCACTACCCTGGTTCTGATTCTAGTCATTGGGGAGCTAGTTAACATTCTCATTCACTGTCAGAGCAAGGAGAGTATCGACAAACTACTACTGAGGTGGTTAATACTGTTGCTGGTAAGGGGCTTGAGACATTGGCATACTGGCTTGCGGCATCTACATGTTAGGTTTGAACTGGTGGGGCATCGTGGCCAACGCTGCCCATCAACCCTCCCATGACTGCATCAACAAATCCATATTGTTGACGTACTGCATCAACTCATAGAACTGTCGGCCATTGATCCCGATAGGAACCGCTGAGGGCTCGACCATCGGGAGAGGCACAGTTAATGAGGGTAGAGAAAGGTTCGGCCCCAAGGAGGTCGCGATGCCTAACAAGGTGAGGGGAATGCTGATCTGCCCAATTGTAACCGTTGGACTCTCGATGCTCGTCACAGGTTGATTCTGCCCCCTTCTGTAGTGCCATCAACTAGGATGTTGTCGGCGTTATTAGCGTGGCTTGAGGATGCCACTGATGAAATCGCAATGGAGTTGGTGAGAACTTGGCTTTTAGTCCCGGTTCCCATAGACAATGTCAATTGATGATGCACGATCTGATGCTCCCTGCTGGAGTACAACTCAGACGCTGGACTGAGTAGTTCTCCTGGCTGAACTACAAGAAAGACAATTAGAGTGTTCGGGAAGCTTTCTCAATGTAGGCATTCCAATGCTTAAGTCAGCAATGTGTGGATATGTGAGAGGTAGAAAGTGAGAGAGCTAATTGATGAGGGCGGATTTGGCCCTCCATTGAAATTGTGACACCTGGCACCTCATGCAAACCAAGTGTAGCCTCTTGACAACTGGGCAGCTTGGGAAGCTCGGGCAGCTCGGCAGAGCTTGCCATAGCTTTCCACTTACAGACAGCTCGGCATGGCTCGCCACAAGCAGCTCGGCATAGCTCGGGGAGCTCGGTATAGTAAGGGGCAGCTCGGCATAGGCAGCTCGCCATAGGTAGTTGGCCACTCCGCAGGCAGCCTGGCGTCTTACGAAGAGCTCGCCACTTAGGGGCAGCTCGGCACTTACAGGTAGCTTGGCATAGGCAGCTCGCCACAGGTAGCTGGACACTCTACAGGCAGCCTGGCGTCTTACGAAGAGCTCGCCACTTAAGGGTAGCTCGACACTTATAGGTAGCTCAACACTTAGGGGCAGCTCGGCGTATCGCAGGAAGATCTTCTGCCTGACAACTGTACCTGACAGATCTGGAGGCCTACGCCCACGTCTCTCGCTAGGCGGCGCCGTGCCTGCCAGTCCTGAGAGTTGTCCCTTGACTGGCAGATCCGTACTCTGCAGCAGCCGCCTGCACCCGCCACCTCAGCTCTAGTAGTAACGGCTGCGGCAGAGAGACAGAGGTGGTTACACCTGACTTGACAGAGGCTGTTACGCCTGATTTGACAGGACACCACTATATAAGGACTCCGACCCCCAAAGACAAGGGGGAGAGAATGAAAAAATGGAGGTAATCCTTGCTTTCTAGCTCTCTCATTTCTCTCCAAGCTCCCTACAATCAGAATGCTAACTTAGGCATCGGAGAGTCCCTGCCGGGAAAATACCCCCGGGTCCTCTGATTCAGTTCTCGTAGGTCCCTCAGCTCCCACTACTTGCAAAGGAGAGGAGATCACCTCATGCAGAGGGCAGTTGGGTTGCGCTACACAAGGGAGCTCATCACCAAGTATCTCTCCACTAGGGAGCTCGTCACCAAGTAGCTCTCCACCAGGGAGCTCGTCACCAAGTAGCTCACCACCAGGGAGCTCGTCACTAGGTAGCTCTCCACCAGGGAGCTCGTCACCAGGTACTCCACCAAGGAGCTCGTCACCAAGTAGCTCACCACCAGGGAGCTCGTCACCAAGTAGCTCACCACCAAGGAGCTCGTCACCAGGTAGCTCTCCACCAGGGAGCTTGTCACCAGGTAGCTCTCCACCAGGGAGCTCGTCACCAGGTAGCTCACCACCAGGGAGTTCGCCACCAGGGAACTTCATCATCCTTTGAGTCACAGGCCACCTGGGAGCAGGTCAAATGACAAGGTACTTAGCCAAAAAATTGGTACATCACAAAAAAAATTGGTACGTGACCAGAAGTGGTTACATCACTAATATTTTAAGAACTAAATCACACGTACCTCCTGTGGTGAATGGGACGCCTTTATATAGATAGTTACGTGGGCTTCACACTGTTTGCCCGAGATCCCCGATAAGACATGTTCGTCTCGCTCGGAGGCCGTTTTTGAGTTGGAGATAGAGTCCGCATAGAGTTAAGGCTTATCTAGTTGTTCCCGAAGTGTGTGACATGGGGAAACAGGTCCGTTGAGTAAGGGATGTGATCCAAAAGAACTAGGAGAGCTGATCCCAAAGAACTAGGTGAGCCACGCATGCAGGAAGCCATTTGCCACATCATGTAGATCATCGACTGGGCCACGGTCAGGTCTATGGGACCTCGGTAGGAGGTTGGTCCCTATGCCGAGGTCTCTAGCTCGGCCCCAACTAGTTCGTCATTATGACCATGCCAAGGTGGCATCGAGGCTCCTTAGACCGTACAAGGTGCCCCTAGAGTTGCCGAGGGAAAAAACTTTAGTTGTTGGGGGCCAACAGCCTATGCTGTTGAGAGAATTTCTAGAAATGCCACATTATTATGAGAATGGGTAAATTAGTAATTACATCTCAATTTATTTTGACTAAAAACCAAAGCATGGGCGTGAATAGGTGAACTGCCAAGATGGTAGAAAGTGCCACTTGTCGTGCTATCACTGGAGGGTCAAATTAATCCTCTATCATTAGAAATCATTGTAAATTATTAGATAATGGAATGTATTTTTATTTTAGTTAAAAAGTATATACCTGATGTATTTACATGCATGCTTTATTATTAGCTCAAGTTTGTACAAATAAGTTGCTATATGGAAAGATTTATAATTGCACAATACATTATTGAATTTCTACTCTTCCCAAAACGAGCCTAACGAAACATCATTTTTCTTTGTTATTTAGATAAAATATCATTATCAACCTTTGTTTTCTAAAAGTACGCATTAGAAAATAATACTAAAAGAAGTTGAAGGGACTGCCAATCTTTCCTGTAAACTCAAAGATTGAGGGCCCGTTTGGTTGGAGGGAATAAGAGTCTGGAACTGGAATCCGGATCCTATTCTCATTCTAGGTGGAATGCCATTTCAAATCCCATTCCAAATGATTCAAATTCTCATTCCAGTTCCTGTCTCAATCATACAGACTATGGGAAGATGGGAATAGACCATTTCGATTCCGACTCCAATTCTAACAGTAAAACAAACGAATCCTGAATAATGTTTCAATGTATTTTTGTGCCAAAACCAAACACACGAACCCTGATGAGTTTTTAGGGATTTTTTTTTTACGTTTTTCTTTAACCTTGTAGGTCATTAATTATAATAATAAAAACGTAAAGAATTTTACAATATAAATAATTTGAATTTTGAAATAGAATGAAACTATACAGATATATATCCTTCTATTCCTATTCATCGACTATGACAGATCAACTTCTGGGAGTGAAAGATAGCTACCTTTCCACTACCTTGGTATTGATCATCTTCCGCCTTTTGCGTCTCTTTAACATAAAAATCAAGCCTACCCTTCTCTCTCTAAGTGCTCTTCAGGAAATAAAGACACTGAATGTTTCTTACTTTACTTCATGAATCAGTACAAAAAGGAAATTATTAGAGCTGGATCAATTTGTGGGTACAAAATTTTCGATATGCAGTCTGTACGACCACCTGATTAGCGTGCCTGTTACAGTGTGGAGTTTAGTCGAAACGATTGACTGGAAAAGTCGGGCTTATGTTGAGTTAGTATCGGCTAAATTCGCATTTAGTGGAAGGAATTGGGGTGATGAGAGTGGAAGTTTTATTTTTGAATGTCAAAAGAAAAAAAAAAAAAAACTCGAAATAAAGGAAAAGGTAGCTTATTTATTCACTATTGAGTGGGATTTCATTAGGTGTGGATGAGAAATTGCAATTTTGTTACTTAGGATAGGACAAATGAGTACAAAAGAGCTCAAGATGAGGCCCAAAACCATTGCATCCTTCCGAACCTAGCTAGTGACATCATACCAAACCATGCATTACACATAAAAAGACAGAAATTAAACTGAACACCACTGATGCATACTCAAAGTCTCAAGGAGTACTACTCATTTCATCAAATGGTTTGTTGCAGTAAGCTTCTTGAGTTGTTCATCAAACCCAAAGTTAGTGTGCACATGAGAAAACAAAACTCCTTTTGATTCAGTGCTCCATCACCATCCAGATCTCCTTCTTTTAACATACAAAAGAGCTCTTCGTCTCCCAAGTCTTGTACTCCCAAAAGATAAGTGTTTCTCTTCAGGCTCTCGAATGTGATGAGACCCTTTGCATGATCCATTAGCAGATAGAATCCGTAGCAGAGCTCTGCAATAAATCGATCAGCACCCATGCTTACCACCATTGACGGGAAGTAATCTTCATACAGGAGATCATTCTCTTGAGCCATTGCACTTATGTAAATTTGAAGCAGTGACCAATTAAAGAAAGATAGCTCAGCGCTCAGCTCACAGGGCCAGGAGGAGAGGAAAGTGATGAAGAAACTACATAGCAGAGAGAGAGAGAGAGAGAGAGAAAGGGTTGGGTCTTGAAGGAGGGAGTAGAAAAGGGAATAGAAGACGAAGATAAGAGATGGTGGAGGGAGGGAGGTAGCTAGCTAGTCCGCCTTGGTGCTAGTAGAGTTGCAGATAAGAGGGTTTTATAACGGTGTTCTGGGGCTTTCTACTCCCAAAATTTGTGGCCCTTGAGGTGGGAGGTTCTCCTTCCTGGAAGCTGCGTGAGATGTAAATTATCCATCTCTAATATGTGCCCCCTCCCCATATATATATAATATAATATCAAGGGCCCTGATAAAATAAGGCACCCTTGTTAATTTTACCGGATCCCTTTGGTCATATTTTATGCGTGCCATTGTCTTTTTATTTATTTATTTCTTACTTGTAAATACTCCCACCAGGCTCGAACCAGTTTAAAAATGGTTTTATATTAAAGAATGTGTATGCAACGGTTAGTATTAGTACGAATGCTTGTTTCACCACCGATTCAGAACAATTATTGTCGGACTTGCACGTGCAAGTCTGGGTTATTAATTTTTATTCGACCAACGAAACCGTAGTTGCTGCGTTCTTTCACCAGAGCGGTTGTATGAGCCACTGGAACCGTGGAACGGTGCAACTATCACTAATAATTGCTGCACATTTTCATTCAGCACTCAGCAGCAACTCTGGAGTTGATTAATTTAAAAACGATGAAAGCATAGTAAGCTAGTTATTATTGGAGCCAATCAGCCTAGTACTAGCGTCTAGAGCTATGATGAGACACCACAAGAATAATTTTATTATGACACGATATACATGATCCATACCTCAGCAGTTAACATCTATTTGTCAGTAACTGATATCCCTAAAAAGAATTGGAAAAGTACGGACAGGCTCAATAAATGTTTCTACTACAGAGTTAAAGTATAAGCATTCTCAGCGTTAGAAACCTGGGCTGAACCGTCATTCTCCCAAAAAAATTTCGTCTATCTGTATATCTAATCTAAGGGACGTTTCTTTATCGGATTGACGACTATTAACTGCCTTGTTCTGGTCCTCCATCTTACACAAAAAGATTAAAGATTTATATGATCAGATCTGATCAGTTGGGAATTGGAATGACTTTGATTTCCCCACCCAATATTCCAAATGGGCCCTACAAAATTCAATTATTGCTTGGGCTCAAAACTAATAACCATGTGCACCGTATTCACCGTAGATGTCCATATACGGCAACACTGTGACGTTTGGTGTGTGGGAAGTTGAATTCCATAACTATAATCCATGGCTGCAGTAGCCTTGGATCCTCATATATTTTGTCAGCGACCGACGACCGAGTGGCCAAGTGGGAAGCAAGCTGCAAAATTTCAGAGATGCATGTTTACTTGAATGAAAGCGTTTGAGTTTTCGGGATCTCGGATACAATATTACAAAAAGAGAGGAAAAAAATGCAGTATATGTTGGATAACCAAGAGAAAAATGAGGGAAATATTGGAAAAAATACTCTTCTGGTTGTTGACAATTCAACTACATCTGACTTGCCTACAAACTAGGTACCGACTTGATAAACAAAACAAATGCAAGTAAATATAAAACAATTACCCGTAAGATGCACTAATTCGATCACGAGCCTTTGACTCTCTCCGGAATCTGGAGTTGGGAATAGAAGAAGATGGAGAATGGGACCATGGTTGGATGCATTATTTACTGCTGAAATAAGACAGTCAATCTTATGACTCTGCTGCGTCCTTGGGCTCAGATTCCCGACAGACCCATTTGGCCGTTGGTTCATAACGGAGAAGCTAACCGAACGCTCCTCCTTTGTCCTATCAACTCATCAGCCAATCTCGATCGCCACGCCATGGAGGACAAGAAAAAAATATTCCCAATGCACGGCTTCAAAGGCTGTTGTGACTAGATCCAGTCTCGACTCTCGACCACCGCTTCTTAATGAATAAAAGTCAACGTGAATACATGCAATCGAAAATTTTTTGCTTGTATGTATCCTGTCGAGCACAGGAGGTTTGTCAACGGCTCAGATATAGGCCGGCCCATATATACCCGGACCAAATCCAAGTTTTGTTTGGTTTTCACCTGGGTTTATTGATGATATAGGTGGTGATTTCAGTCCAGATCTGGATCATAATTAAAAACAAATCAAATTTATCCAAAACAAAACAAATAAAAAAGGATTGGCAGCAGCATCACCAAACACAATTATAGAGTTTAAATTCCTAGGTGGAGACCCTACAAGGCTACAAATCAAATCGGGAACATAACTTAGATAATCCGGTACCTGTTGGCATGGGGTGGCAATTAATTTTGGGCCTAGGACGGATCCATCATCCATGTATACAAGACCGGATCTTACTATGTACCGTTACGGGTTATTCCACCTCCACGCACTAGAATACAAGCCTCGGTTATGGACCCACTCACTAAATATTCGTCGTACCCGAAAAAGGGACCCATCCAAATTCCATCTATGATTATTCTCAATAGATAGATAAATTTCAATCATTTATAATTGAACTCTTTGTATAGCCAATAACAAATATTGGGTTTACATCGTCAGTCTAAAAAGAAAACTTCCAACTCCTTTAAATCTAACTTTTCCGAGTGGATATATAAGAAAGTCACATCTCCCATGTTTTAGTAAATTTTAAAATTTCCACCAAATGATACGGTTATAATATCCACAGCACGTGAAAAGGAGGATTTCCTCCTTACGAGGAGACAACATGAATTCTGTTTTAATCATTTGTCTTGCATTTCCTTTTGGTTGGCAACCCATTTGACTTACCTTTCCGGTAAAGATAGAAAAAAAAAAAAAAAATTGCCCATTCTACATTGGCTAACACTCCATAGAGATAGATGTTGGTTGGATAAAAAAAGAGAAACATGAGAGGGAAAATCATTTTTCGTGAAAGTTATTAAGCAATTTCACATCCCTTTGACTCTTTACTTTTTTCTTATTTCCTATCAAACCAAATGCAATCTAAATTACGTTAATATTAAAAAAGTGGTTCTGTTGATTTTTTAATTATTTATTTGAAAAGTGCTTTTCTTCTTATTTTTGGCTTTAATTCTGTTAACATGATTTGTTTTTGAACTGTACTAATTGCTATCAGACCACAAGTTTGGTGGAGTGAAAAGAATATGTGGTAGAGTTGAAAAGACAAATCGATGGACTGGATCAAGAGTGGAGATCATTTTGTTCTCAATATAAATTAAAATAGGGGCATACGAATCCAACACAAGTGCCTCCACTAGAGTTTGTTGGAAGAGTTAGTATTTCTAGAATTTAAAGGTAAAGTCGCTGATGAGTTTATTGATTGGTTTAATATTGTTGAGGATTGAACATTGCTAAGGAGGAATTTTCCATCATTCATCATGAATTCCAAAATGGTGGAGACAATAGTTATCATCTTGGGAGATTTGATGGATTACATTGTCCTCATACTAGTTTATTAGGATTCTTACCATAAAGTTTAGAATGGTCAATAAAAGAAGAATTGACTTATTTGAAGTGTAAGAAATATGTTTCAAAAGTTATGAGATGTAATAATGATTTTTCAATTTATAATGGTGGTTTACATCATCAATTATCTATCAAAAAGTTAAAAATGGAGAAGCATAGTGGACCATATATCGGCGGCTTCTTAGATGGTAATTAACATGAACCCGGGGACAAATTTTCTCAAAACTGAAGAGGATGATGTATTGATGCAGTATGAGATTTTCTCAAACTAAGTAATCAATTACTATGTTGGCTTTGATAACCTATCATAGTTTGTATTTATCAATATAGAATCATCACAATATTTCTGAATTTTTCTATCTTGATTCACATTTAACAAGTTAAAATCACTGTGAGATTTTTGAATTTATCTTTAATTAAGACTTTCTTTTTTGAAGAGATTTAGTTGGTTTAATTAAGAAGTGTCCAATTAGATTAAGAAACTTTCTTATAGGAGGTGTAAGGGTGTAAAATAAGTCTGAGAAGAGTATTGCTAGTAAATCAGTTCTGTTGATTTTCTATTAATTGTTCATTAAAGAATTATATTTCATTTTTTTCTTTTTATTTTCATCTTTTGTTCTTTTCTTTAAAGATTTTTTCAATGTGATTTGTTTCTGAACTGCACCATAATTAGACCATAAATTTGCTAAATGTATAAAGACTAAGAGTTGTAGAATTTTAAATCGAGTTTTGAACACCAATCACATGGAGAAGAGCTAATGCATGAAATTCCAACTTGTTAATGATATGATAATGGCATAATTAACCCAACCCAAGTGACAAGTGAAAAATAATATTATTCTATCAGTTTAAGAAAATATATTTGATTATTTTCAAATGTGATATATGTAAGTTTAAATGATATAGTTTGAAAACATATTACATCAACCTAAGTACTTTAGCATTGGGTCTTCTCAAAATGTGAAAAAGGTTAGAATATATAGAAAGATCATATCCAATCATTCTCAAATATTTACAGGGTGTTTGACTACTTGTTTTCAATAAATATAAGCTTGAGAAGCCAAGGGTCATCCTACAACTTGTTTTCAATGCAACCTAAGCTAATTAATATTTTACCCTCACCATACAATTAGGATTAATCACAAAAACAACCAGAAACATTAACAACATTTTGTTATATTGATTGTCAATCATATTGCATGATAAACACACAATGAACCAAATTATTAAGATTTTCCCTCACAATAAAATGGGGAAAATTAACAAATAAGAGTATTTTGGTCACCAAAAATCTAAATATTTAGACACATTGACACTTTTAAAAGAAATAACTTAAGGGGCCCTTTGATAATAGCTGAAATGGGTGAACTGAATGACTTATTGCTTTGTTTTTAGTGGATAAAATTATTAAATAACCACATATTCATGGAT